GAGAGAGAGAGAGAGAAAGAGAGAGGGGGGGAGGGAGAGAGAGAAAGAGGGAGAGAGAAAGGGGGAGAGGGAGGGGGAGAAGGAGAGAGAGAGAGAGGGAGAGAGAAGAGAGGGAGAGAGAAAGAGAAAGAGAGGGAGGGAGAGAGAGAGAGAAAGGGGGAGAGCAAGGGGGAGAGGGAGAGAGAGAGAGGGAGAAAGAAGAGAGGGGGAGGGAGAGGGAGAGAGGGAGGGAGAGAGAGAGAGAGAGAGAGAGAGAGAGAGAGGAGAGACAGCAAAGAACGGCACATACAACGGCTGTTTCTCCGGGAACCGCTTGAGAGGGATGAGGAGTTAGCCTGCAGTGCCCGGGGAAGAGCTCAGGGAGCTTCACAGGATCCCACCCAAGGACGCACAGTCTGGAGGAGAACATCTTACCGGCAGAAGCCTCCACTGCAAAGTGGTCAGGTTGAGCAGCCAGAAATCGCTGGCCACGCCATCGGCCGTCAGCCCACCCAGGACGTACATGGCTTTGCCTGGGGATATGTAGGCAGCCGCGTGGAAGTAACGGGGGTTGGGGCCCGGCCCTCGGTCCTCAGTCCCTGCCAGCATCTGAGTCCAGCGACGTTCGGCGATGGAGTACCTGGGGAGTCACCGCACCTTTGGCTGTCGTGCTCCCAAGGGCGGTGGACTTGTTTGGGGAGGGGCCGCTGGAGGGGTGGGAGAGAGTCTCTTTTACCTGTAGACGTTGCCCAGCATTCCTTCGCGCAGCGACATGCCTCCAAACATCCAGAGGGTGGAGTCAGGACCCTCCACCATGGTGTGGCCCAAACGGTGAAGGAAGCGGCTGGCTGTGTCCTTGAGAAAGGGAAATACGGAGGGGGGGGGTGAGGCGGAACCCAGACCGTTCTCAAGACTGACAAGGCTGAAAATTCTTGGACGACTGATCTGACGCAACCTGCGCCGTGTCATCATAGCCATAGCACCTAGACTTGTATATCGCTTTATAGTGCTTTTCCAGCCCTCTCTAAGCGGCTGACAGAGTCAGCCTCTTGCCCCCAACGATCTGGGTCCTCATTTTACTGATCTCAGAAGGATGGGCGGAAGACTGAGTCAACCTTGAACTGGTCGGAATCAAACTCCTGGCAGTCGGCAGAGTAAGCCTGCAATGCTGCATTCTAACCATTGTACCCCCATGGATGGATGGATGGAAGGAAGGAAGGAAGGAAAATAAAGATTGAAAGAGAAGGAAGGAAGGAAGGAAGGATCAGGAAGGAGGGAAAATAAAGATTGAAAGAGAAGGAAGGAAGGAAGGAAGGAAGGAAGGAAGGAAGGAAGGAAGGAAGGAAGGATCAGGGAAGGAAGGAAAATAAAGAATGAAAGAGAAGGAGAGAAGGAAGGAAGGAAAGAAGTAGGTAGGTTCAGGGAAGGAAGGATAGATCGGGGAAGGAAGAAAGGAAAATACAGAATGAAAAAGAAGGAGAAAAGGAAGGAAGGAAGGATGGATGGATCAGGGAAGGAAGGAAGGCACTACTTCCATAGGACAAAAGTAACTTACAGCCGTCAACTGGGTGTCAATCAACGTCTCCCAAATGATCTTGTCAGCCTCCAGCGGGATGGTGCAGTCGGCCCCAGCAAAGCGATGGCTGCAGATGCACAGACCGAGTCTCTGGAAAAAGAGCGAGGCTAAGACAAGGAGGACCGTAGGAGGAATACAGATCAGGGCTTGGTTTCATTGCAGGGAAAAACCCACCCAAAATGTCCACATCAGCCTATCTCAGATCGTTTAAACCCAACGGCTAAGGTAACAAACTCGTAAGGGTCTCTGAAATGCCAGCCAAACAACACTTCGTTACCCAGACAAGATGACATCATCATTGCTACTCTGATGATGTTAGCCAGCTTTCTGGGCTTGCTCACCGCCGAGGCTGACAGCTCGATTCCCATGAGCGAATAAACTGCAGAGAAACAAGAAAGCAGCCTCCCCCCGACTGCCTACCGGCGTTCAGGCAAAAATAACACCGCCGGTAAAAAAAAATTCCTTCCACAGAGGCAGCCAGCCACCTTGGTGATCCCTGGAATAACGTTGATTGAGTGCCATATGTGTCAACTCGTAAAGGATTCCTGGCCTGCTCTCGAGTTGCCCTCAGCAGGAGGGAAGAAAACTGATGGAACAGCAGAGCAGCCACAACCAGAAGCATATTCCACGCTTATCTTCTTCAAGGCTGTATCCCAGGCTACCGGGATCAACTGGAAAAATGCGATCTCTACAACCCGGGGAAGTGCTCCGTTGGAGGATATGATTTATGACACACCCTGGGCAGGGAGGGGAAAAACAGGGTCGTAGGTGGGCCGTAAATTACATGAGGCAGAGCTGACTTCATTTGGGTAGGTGCCGACATGTTGCTCCTAATAAATAACCGGATTTCTTTTTGAAACTTGGCTGAGGCTGGTGGTTTAATTAGGGCGTCCGTCGGAACCCTGACAACACGCTATATAAATAACAAATAAATAAATTCGCTGAACAACCGTGGCAAAGAAAGGGCGTAAAATGGGGCAAAATTCGCTTAACGAATGTCTTGCTTAACAACCAACGAACCTGGGCTCAAATTGGGGCTGTAAGTGGAGGACTCCCTTGTATGGAACACATTATTTCAACCGTCTGGACTTTCCCCTCTTAAAACAGATGTCCCCACAACCCACTCACCCTGTTGCAAAGCCCTTGCCCAAGGTGAGCGCTACAGTTGCCGGGACAGATCTGGAACTTGCAGCTGGGCCCGGTGTAGCCAGGCTTGCAAACACAGTGGCCCTGCTGGCATTCCTGGTTGACGTGGCAGCTGGGCCAGCAACGGTGGACCAGGTACGTTGCGTTGAAGCCTGAGGCGTCGCTAGTGTTGGCTTCGTAGTAGATGACCAGGAGGCCTGCAGGTTTGAAGAAGGATAAACCTTGACAAGGACCCCAGAGCTGTGAGGTCTGCAGGGAGGAGGGAGGGGAGATTGTCTTCTAAAGCAGTGTTTGTCAACCTCGGCATCTTGAAGATGGGTGGGCCTCAACTCCCAGAATTCCCTAGCCGGCATGCAGGGGCTTCAACCCCAAGCATGCTGGCTGAGGAATGCTGGGAGTTGAAGTCCACCCATCTTCAAGTTGTGAAGGCTGAAAAAGCCAGCACTAAGGAAAAGAGCTTGGCAGTTGCCTTCAGACCCTCATGGAAGACAAGAAGCAGAGTGCAGAAGATACAAATAGGAACAAAAGCAATTTAGATTACCTCATCCTGCACAGGATTTCAACCTTTTAGAACAGGGGTGTCAGACTTGATTTCATTGAGAGCTGCATCACCTTGTGGGGTCTGGGGAGGGCTGGGGAAACCCATTGGAATCCAGACTTCCTTCCTTCCTTCCTTCCTTCCTTCCTTCCTTCCTTCCT